ATGATTACAGATAAGAAGATGTCACTGAAGTCTTTTTTCTTTTGCAGGCTGTAAAGAAAGATCTATTATGTACATTAGGACAGTTAGCTACGCATTTGAATAACTTGGTCGTTGTCTTCCATCCGATTATTCTAAACCTACAAAATCAGTTCGTAGAACATCAGGATACGCCTATACCGAAGGTAACGTATATAGTCCGATGTCGTCAGCTTTGCCGTTTGCTTCGTCTGTTTTCTATTCAATTCCTGGACAGTTTTCGTACTTATTCGCAATATCTCGCTTATTTATTGCGCCGATGAGGCAATACATGAGTACCGATAATCTAGTGTAGAAGTTTGATTTGCAATTCTAAGCTGTAGGTGAGGTGAAATTGCATATATATTGAGGTATTGCCGCCGCATTAGTAGGCCTGACTTCAGCGAGAATTACTCAAACATCAAATAGCAATCGTACAACAAACACTCAATACAGCGCTGCTATTGTCCAAACACATCACGACCTTGAATCCACAGGTTGTAAAGGTTATGTAATCTCTACCTGAGCCACCCCGTGCATTCAACGCGTTTGATTCTATGCTGTCGTTCATTAATTCGATCCGTAAACTATTTAACAACCTAAAATGAGAGCTGTCGTCCGACTAGATCAAGCGATTTCTCGGACTGAATTGTCATCCATTCGCTTCGTGAGCAAATTTCGTCTACTAGCCACGTCAATAATGTACCACCGTGTTTGTTTCTGCAACCGCGAGTGCCGCGGGTGCCTTGAACACGACAAAATAGACGGCACTGTCGCAGATTCACTTCGTCACCGTCGATAGCGGCTCGCTACTCCCTCCGCTTTGGATAATGAATGACAGACGAAATTGTGACTAGTTAGTGACTGCTTACATTGACTGGACGACTCCAGCGACAACCCCTCACCGACACCTCAGAACATTCACCTCAGAGAATGAAAAGCGGTGCAGTGCTAGCGGAGTTGGCAGGCAGGCAAATGGACGGCCGATCGCTTGGCCAGTCGGCGTCCACAACGGCAGCAGTATCATCACAGAAACCCGCTCACCACCACTACCTCGACCATGTGACGATGAACGGCAGCGTTATTGCAATAGCAGCATAGAATATATGACGAATTCGGCAGCTGCAGCGACCCTATAGAAGACGCGACTGCTTTTGCTCACGCCGGCCGCAACGGTGGTGTCACCTGGTGGCTGAGATCTGGGGCCACTGCTGCCGCTCCAGCCGCTGCTACTGCTGTTTCTGGATGGAGTAGAGTTGCGACGGTACAACGGCCGGAGCGGCAAATGGAAGCAACAACTGCGTGCGACTATATTTTAGACAGAAAACAACGTCGCAGACAATCATCGTGAAAGAGAATACGCATACGTACACACAGGCAGGCAGGCAGGCAGGCAGGCAGGCAGATAGAGACAGACTAAACTCAAGACGCAAAAAGCCGCAAGATCACGGGCGACGAACATGAAAAGGAGCCCGCGGTGACGCTGATTCAGAGGCGGCGGCGGCGGCGGCTTCGACGACGAAGGAACCACCAAAATAGCGTTGAAACGGCAGCGGCAAGAGCGAGCAGCGAATACAGTTGGACACACGCAGACGCACAAAAGGAGGGAGAGAGAGTGAAAGACAATAATCAAAATCGCCTCGACTTTGTATCTGTCTCCTGTAGCACCGGAGTGGCAGCCGTGGTAGTGCATAGTCATAGCTAGCCACCGGCCGGGCCGCCACGATCGTCCGTCGCCCCCTCCACTGGATCTTGACTGTGTCAAGCGCCCATGGATACACAGTATCTAGGGTCTGCCTGTTTATTGCGGCTCGATTAGTTTGCCACTCAATGAATGCGGACCTGGCTTCAACCGATAAAAACGACATAACAACAATATATACAAGACATTGCATTGATACCCTGTAAGTGTCCCCTACTATGCAATGGACATCGCTTCAGGTTCTTTACTTTGGCCAATGCTATAACAATAACCTCAACACGGGAATAAGAACAATGTAAATTGTCGCATTGTATGGCCAAACAGTAAAGCAAAATGGTACGCTACTCACGAGCGTCTATGTGAAGACCAACTCAGCAGCGCACATAGCAAATTGAAAATGTAGCGTGCATGTTAAATAGAAAATAATGGAAACATGATGCGCCCTCGAACCAAGGCATTGTCTGTTCTAGGTAACCGATATAACTGAGTCTGTGATGAAAGGACATGGCCGTAAATCACGGTCAAAAACGCCGATGACTCGAGCCCAAAAAGCGGTAGGTATTATATTATATTTGATCGGTAAGTGTCTTTTTTTCTCTCTGTTGAATAAGGATAGAGCCGTTTGTCAAAAACATGCTTGATTTAGAAAAGTAACACCATTTAATAGTAGTTAGGAAATCTTAAGGACACTGCACAATAAACACTGGTGTCTGGAAAACGCAACTTAGTCACTACCGTTCGTGAACGCGTTTCATATAGCTGATATCTCTCTGGCTTTCTATGCTGCAATCCCCTTGTTATACGTATGAATCGCTGAGCCATTGACTGAAAGGGACAGAACTTACTGGTTCAAGCTCCATCATTTATGTAGCATACATGATATATATAGTTTCACAACCAAATGCTTCCTGGCCATTGATCTTTCATCATTAGTATCATTGGATTACTTTGTGGTAGAAAAGCGTATTGCGTCAAAATTCCAAATATGTACTCTGCATGGGTAACGAAACTCAGAACCGAGCAGTACGCATCCGCTTTATTCCACTGAGCGCTTAAGCCACAGATAACCACCGAAGCGCTCGTATTGAAATTGAATTTTTGCTGTTATGTCTATCTTGATTAATGTCGTCAAATAAGCCTAATCAGCATTATATTTACTTATTGATCCTGTTTTGCAATACAGCTTTGTATTTACGATATATTTGTTTATACATTTTTTGGGTCAGCCGCGCAAGAACGATCCTATCTGCTTTGTTCGCCATTAGTAGTAGTAAAATGGAACCGTCGTAGTCAACACTGGAAGGAACTAGCGAAGGATGCATGCACCATTATACTACTACACATTTATGGCTTCCAGCGAAGTTGGGTCGAAGTGTGGAGGAAGAGCTGGGGTCAGCCCGAGACGGGCGGATCTTTTCTCTGCGTTTAGTTTTTTATTTTCAAATTACGCCCGCGACGATAGTAGCGCCAGCAACACTAACAACAACTATGCCTATAACAATATTTTGAATTGTTTGTCTTCAAAGAGCGCCACTGGCGCGGTCGCATATCTCAGTTCCTTGTGAGGACAACAAGGGAGAAGGCTTGCCGACGACGACGCAACTGCTGCCGTTGCACGTTTCCGTTCAAGCTCCGGCTTCAAACCACCTTGGCTGTCCTCCGCGGTCAGGAGAGAGCCCTGCGCTAGCTGCAGGGTCCACTCGACTGACAGGGCAATAACGGCTGAGAGTGACACAGCCTCTGGTGTCATGGCCCGTTCCCTGGCGCCGACAACAGCTCTGAGCACGACAACATCGTTGACGTCGACGACTTGTTTAACTTAATAATGGCAATCCTTTGTTTGTCACCGGCCGGCCAGTGAACGAGCGACCCTCGTCCGCAATAGAGGGAGGCCAGAGACAAAAAAGGGCGTAGGACGGTGACTGGGAAAGAGAAAAGTAAAAGAACTCGAATGGTACGAAGGAAGCATATTACGGAAAATAGCAGGAACTATGACAAGAGAAAAACGAAAATCTCTGACAGAGTGCCATCGCGGCCGTACAAGTGTCTGCACAAAATAGGCGACAGCGACGTTGACGCTGTGGCAAAGGCAAACAGAAAAATCAGCTAGCGTTCGAAACAACGGGGGGACAAGACGACCATAAGTAAACTCATGAAATTGAAAAATAGTTGGATAGAAAGAGAGCGAAAAAGTAGAGAGGGGAAACAAATGAAAAAAATCAAGCAGAAAATTTGGCCGCGTTGCCATAATCGGCGTAGTCTTTGTCAATAAGGTGGGCGCCGACAAGGAGCTTACGCCGAGCCGTGGCCAATTGTACGACAACCGCCCCCAGCACGTTAACCGATCGACGCAGATAGCCGCCATAGGAAATCTAAAGCAGAAGAATGAAAAAATAGAACAGAGATGCCGCTCTGCGGGAGGGCGCTGTTGGTGGCTGTCGCGCAGAAGCATCACCATAGGCGGTGCAGAGGTGGTACGCACGGGAACCGAGGAGATCAGGTAGCACGACGATCGCTGCGAAAACAAGGGATGCTTAGAAGCAAGCATTTAAGCTTTCCATATATGAGCCAGTCGAAAAAAATCAACGAAAAACAACGACCTGAACGAGAGCAGTTGGAGGCTCGCTCGCAAGTAACAGCAGACGGCGCTGTAAGGACAACAACCGCCATAGCTAACATGCGACTGATGTCGGAACTTTGTTGGGTCAAGACGAAGGCCATAAGCTTGCTAACCGCTGTTATGGTATATTGAAGATATGGTGAAAATGTGGAAGTATGAGCAAGACTGGCATAATTTTTTCCACTATGCAGTCTATGATGAAAAAAAAAGCGTTTATTATTTATTTAAAAGTGTTCGAGTATATTTAAAGTATATTAAAAATGAATTATCTACGAGTGTTTGAGTGAAAGATCCCAGTACATAAGGAAGCACAGTGCGAAAATCGGCTGGATCGCCTAAATAATGAAAAACAATCCATTTGTCCTAACTGGTAAAATCGTTAAGAGATGCACTGCGGAATAAATAGGTACCTGATGGTGCTACAGCCTTTCGCGAGCCTTGCTACGGAGAGTTTTTTTTTTTATAGTATGCTTTGTTAAAGCCGATCTAGACACGGTGACGTATCTATATCGGTTGTTTGAAACAATAAGAAACAAAGTTCTCCCTCAGAAACACTAGCGCACATATTACCGGTTTGAATTTTATACCCATATGAGTATATAAATATAGCATAAATAACGACATGATCCATATTTGTTTCTTGATATATAAATGTTTTATTTATTTACTTATTTGGTTTGTTGTTGTTTGTTGTCGTTATTATTATTATTATTATTATTATTATTACTTAATAATTATCCACCAACAATTTACAATGAACACAATCATTCGCGTTTTGCAAGCAGCCAGTTCGTGTGGTAATTAGTTATCGTGTACTTTTGCGTCACTTCGCTTGCGCACTCTCGTACCTTCTGTCGCTTCCTTCATAGTTTGCTTTCATCAAATCGTCGCCATCTGCCCGTTTCCCTGTGTCTCTTCGCACTACGTCCTGATTGCGTTAATAGTAGTTGATTAAATACCAACCATCCTCAATGTCCTTCCCAGTGTCTTTTTCAGCTCTCTGATACTATTTTCGCTTCTGATGCATCCTTCTACCTCATCTTCTTACAATTGCTGCCACAATTGTCATTCTCGACATCGTTCATGAGCCCAGTTTTGAAGTGGAAAAACTCCGTATCTCAACTGTTGGTTAGTTGTTTACCGCAATTCGGCCAATTTCCTTGTGATCACTTTACCACTGCTTCGGCGTCATTTCAATGTAACATCAGAACGTTATCAGCTCGATGCCTACAGGAGAATTCGTCATCCTTCCGATATCTCACCGTAAAGCGTTACCTTTTTTTTTTCGCGCTATCCTGTGATCTCCTGCCTCTCGCTACCTAGGAACACTCGACCAATGCTCTTCAATATATCTGCATTTTTCTATATAGTTAGTTTAGTTCTCGTAATCGTCATTCTTATTGTCGTCCTCGTCATCTTCGTCATCGTACTTTCTTGCTTAGCTTATTGTGCTGCATACTTATGTTAGGTTCATCACCGCCTCTGTAAACGCATCGAGACACGTGGCGGCCCTACCACTCTAGGACGAACCTCACGCGCCTCCCGATGCGCTGCGGCCATAAAGTGTGACAAACATTGCCACTCTTCTGCATCAGACGGCATCTGTTCGATTTGATTTTCTTTTTGACAAATAATAAATTACACCTAGCCTAGTATATTTACCATTATGTATCTTGCCACAAAAGGACAATCCGCATTCGTCCTGTTTTTTCTCTCTTTACGTCTTTGTCTTTCACACAGCGATCCGTTCACCATTTTTAATGCGCGCGCGCACACACATACACACACTCACATGCCCACATTCTAATTCTTCGTCAGTCCTTTTTTCCCCTATATATATATATATATATATATATATATATATAGGTAATCATCCTTATTCTCTTTTGCTAATATTAGGTTCCGTACTAATTACCATAGATCATTATTGTTATTACCATACACAGAATCTCGAATGCTACTGTTCTTGGTATAATCGTTTTTTACTGTTCCCTGTTCGGGTCCACAGTTCTGCGCAAATCAGTATCATATATTCATTATTAAAGGACCACGGCTTGTTTGTCTTCCATAAATTAATGAAGAATGATCATAATTGTAATGGTATATATACACAAAGGTAACAAAACGTCGTCGATTGCAGCCACCCCTTTTCTGAATTGCCAGAAAGGCTGATTCCTAGAGAGCTGTTGCCTCGAATAATTAGAACATTTCCATCGATTTTTTTGTTAGGTGGCTTCAAAAAACCGCTGGTATGTATATAAATGTAGTGGCTATATATGCTTATTTTTTCAGTAATAATGCATTGTAATATTATTTTACAAGTTTTAAAGGCGGACATAACAGAAGATACAAATATAACGACACGAAATTACACAAAGACCACATGAACCTACACACCGGTTATTAAAAAAATGACACCAAAATCATATGGAATAAATAGCCGTTTGCAGACGACAAAACTGTTTTTTTTTTTTCGGAACGAAGCAAGAACAGAAATTTTGTTGGGATTTTCCCCTTAGCATTTTCTTTTTCTCTCCCAGGCCAAAACTTCTATTTTTTCCCTATTGTTTTTAATTATTGTCGCTCTGTTTCTCTCTAGTTTTTCGGCGATTCTCCGTTGTCACGCATGGCCATCCTTACAGGAACAGCGTCGACGTACAATGTGTGGTGTCGCTACCATATCCTTTCATTGCTTCACGTTTTTAATTTTTCTGCACCTTCAGTTTTTATGTTTATATATGTACATACGTTATCGCCTGAGCCCTTCTTTCGCTTTTGTTGGTTAGCTCAGCGTTGTGCTTATAATTCGCTTATTTGCAGGCTTCCGCAGTGCATAGCACAACAAGGTAGCAGTCTGTGACTGAATCGCGAGAAGAGGATGAATTTCGACATGTTGTTCCAAGCTGTGTGATCCCATGAGCGGCGCCAATATACTAGTAATGTTCAATTGCAATAATGTCTTCTGCCGCATTGTTTGCAAAGGCGACGCGCAGACAGAAAAATAAGCAAAAAATCTTTTTCTTAGGGAGAGATCGCGGAGAGCTAAAAAAAAAAATAGCTCAAATCTGCCGCCCGCATACAACAGGGTATATATATATATATATAGAGGTGTACTAGAATAGTTCAGACGACCCGACCGTTAACGCAACCCCAGAAAGCGAAAGCGTGTCGTGTGTGCGTCTGGCAACTCTCTGTGTGTGTCTTCATCCTTCTATAGCCACTTTCTGGTGTTCGGGAAAAGGTTTTTGCATCTTTCATGCACGTATGATCCGCAAGGGCATTGCGCCCGCCGGAGGTCCGTTGTCAGTCAATCAAGCAACCAATAAATCAGTCTGTCGTTAAAGGACATACAGTTGTGTACGGCCATCAATGAGAGGATGAGCAGAATCCTTAGAAATAGAAGAACACAAGCAATCCTGAAGGGAGCATGAATTATCATCGCTGCTCACTTAGATCCAGGAAAAAAAATTAAATATCTCTCAACATGCGTAATCATCGATTGATTTCAGTTTTTGCTATTAGTTATAGATTCGATTCAATCCCCTCAACCTAGTATTATCGCGACTGTCTCTCCTAGCCGTGTTATCTTTCTGAGTTTTACAGAAGTTTCTGCATCATTTTTAGCGTTTCATTATCAATATCGCCTTTGCAATTATTTACTTTAGCAGCAAGTTAGCTTCACCATGATCATCGTTATCGTCGTCATCTTCGTCGTTATCAAATGACACACCAAAGATAGGAACTTTCGTATTTTGTGGACGGCCACTCCCAACATGGAACGGCGGCCTTTCGAAGCATTTAGTCGGGCCCTGGTACGACCGTGCCGCGCGGTAACTTCGCTCGCGTCCATCGCCAGCACAACGACCGTAATGCACCACCACTGCCATCTACAGCTACCCAACCCATAGCAAAGTATCCCATATGAATAGTAGCAAGATGAAATTGGACAACCTGATAACAGTTCGAGTAACTGGTACTTGCGGTAACTATGCAGCGAGAGCGCCTTTTAGAGCCGCTTCCGCTGGTCAACGGCTTACCTCACTCGCTGTTTGCCTTCTGCACTGGTTTATTATTATTAATTATTATCGCTTTTTCGGCAGATTTCTCATCGTTTTCTATTTTCAGCAGCCCAAACAGACATCAAACGAGACGGCACGGGAGGCCGCTCGGACAATGAAAAAATTGCACATCTTTTCTACAATATCGGTTATTGTCTTCCCTTGACATTTCCATTCACTCGTCCTCTCCATGTATCTATATAACCTGTTTTCGTTTATGCCTGTATTTCTTTCGTTCTTCTTTTTCTTTCTTATTATCTTGCTTATTTTGTTGCGCATCGTTTACAGGATATATATATATATATATATCATAGGATCATGCTATCAGCGTCCCCTTTGTCTCATTATAATAATTGTTGTTTTTATAATTATCAATATTGTTATTATTAGTATTGTTGTTGTAGTTGTTATTATCTCGTTGCAGTCCACTTGAACGATTATTTTTATTAATTCTATCTATCTGTCTGCAGCAAGTGTGTCGGTTTTGTAGTGGATTATACAATATTATATATATGAGGAACACTGGAGAGTTACCCTAATGGATGCGTGGTCACACACCCTTGTTTTTTGCGTCGTCTATGTCATCGTCATTGTTTAATATTATGTCATTAGCATTGTCGTATAACTCCGATTCTTATTATTAATAATTACCCTTATTATAATTAATATTACCACCTCATTGTTATTAGCAGCATTATTTAGCATATATACACTCGAGCGTGCTAACCCACCGTCCGAGGTCGGCGCATTATCGCCGTTCTCATTGCTTATTTTCATTTATGATTAGACGAGGGCCGCCCTCATCAGGTGTGGCTAGTGCTCTTAACGTATATCTTTTTTTTGTCACTTGGTCTTATTCACTTCCTGCAATTTTTCGTCTATGTCGTCGTCTCCACCATCGGCTTCATCAGTCTTCACAGATTATGTTGTTTCCTGTGTCTTACGATGACCTTACGACTGTATCGTCTGCTGATGTTGGTTTTCTCTCTCTCTGCCATTCTCCATCGTTTCTTCACAGTCGTCGTCGTCGTCGTCGTCGTCGTCGTCGTCGTCGTCGTTGTCTGTTTTTGTTTTCATTATTCACAGGTTACGCAGGTGGCCCGCGTCGGCGTTTCATGCGATTCGCATGTTGACGTTGAGTGGGGCGTGATATGATATATATATATATATATATATATATATATATATATATATATATATAGGGGTTAGGTATACGACTCGGCTTTGCCGAATAAGCCAGGCTCACAGGCTTGCTTTGGATTGCCTGAATCGATGCCTATTTGCATTTTTCATCCTTCTTTCATCAGGCGATTAATAAACGCGCGCACGTTATTTATATTAATTCTGCTTTTCTCCCAGCTTCCGTCGTGGCCCCTTATCTCTTTCTGCGTTTGCTGTGGTTGGATCAGGGCCATTAGTTAGAACATCTGATTGGTATTTTCTGTATAGAAATAATATCTCCGTGTGTATATGTATTTATTATAAAGAGAAGTGTATAGTAATTATTGTGAAACCACTCATGTCTTCTTCGTAAACCCTACATGCGTTCTTTGATCACGCTCATGTCGTTCGTGGTCACCGGCTTGGATGCCGAATCAGCGGAGAGCTGTCGGTTCGCGACACATCACGCTTTCGAGGCAGTCTCCGATAGTTAGTCACCCGCTTATTTACTTGCTGTAGCTTTCCTTCCCTATACTAAACTTGCATTTGTCGCTGTTGTTGTTGTAGTATTAGCAAAGACAAGTCTTATTCTTGCTTGATGTTCTCGATGGTCTCATTGTTGTTGCTGTTGTTGTCGTCCTCGTAGCAGCTGTTGTTGTTTGATCACACTTACAAATAGTCCACAGTTCTTCACACCCAATTCGTTCTTTTTGCTAAAAGCGTAAGGCCGTCCGTCCATTAGTTGATGGTCCAGCAGACCGGTCTTCACTTGCTCGCCGTTTTCATAGTACTCCAACTGGACTGAAAGTTTTTATAGCAGTCCCTTGTTTTCATAATAGTGTTCCTTGGCCGGTCGCTTATAATAGTCAATATCAGTTTATCGTTCTTCTTCAAGCAGTACTATATTATTATATTATTAATTCGTCTATTGGCGTTGTTCGTATCTTCGTAAACTCTCCTTGTTTCATCGATGACGGTGACGACACAATTTTTCACTGGCGGCTCGCAGAACTGAAAAGGGGCGCCCCAGGGCTCTGCGCACCGAAAAATGCGCTGAATTGATTCTGGCCACCGTTGACGCCCCCTGCGCCTGAAGAGGTGAACAGGCTGAAATCATCATTGGAAGCAGGATTGTTGTTGCAGTTAGTATCGCCTGTCGATTTCCCTGACGTGACATCCACGCTGTCTTCCAGCGACGCCTGTTGCTGCTGCTGCTGCTGCTGCTGTTGTTCTTGTTGCAGATTGAGCTGACTCAGTAGCTGCAGCTGTTGCACGAGCTGGCTGTGCTCGGGGCCGAACGCCGAGCTGGCCTGATCGCCGCCCGCTCCGGAGCTGGGGCCGTGTTGTTGGCCCGAGATCGGAAGGGGCGGCCCCGAGCTATGGCCGCCTCCGGCCTGCTGCGACTGTTCGGGCTCGTCCTTGTTGAGCTCGAGATACGCCCGAATCTGGCTGATATGGCTCGGCGAGAAAAGGTGGTCCTGTAATGAGCTGGAAAATGACTCGTAGCGGGTGTTGCAGATGTCACATTGTTCCGGCCGGGCAGGCTCGAGCTCGGGCACCTGGCCCATCTTGAGAGCGGCCGCCTTGGTCTTCTTCTCCTTGGCGCGGGCGTTCTGGAACCAGACCTGGATTACCCGTTTGGGCAGTCCGATCTGGGCGCCCAGACTCTCGCACTCGGCCATCGTGGGCGTCTTATAGTCGTGAAAAATACTCTTCATAATCCGAATCTGCACCGAGCTCATTTGCGTGCGGAAGCGTTTGGCCTGACCACCGGGAGCGGCGGGTCGACCCTCGGTCGAGCCAGGCGAGGTCTGCTGCTCGTAGTAGACCACCGAGTCACCATTCTCGGACATGTTTAAGTCGTTACCGTCGTTCTGGTACTGATCCTGAGTGTCTTCAGAGTCGGACTCAACGCGGGCCAGACCCATTCGCGGTTTCGCGTGGGGCTCATCAGGCCCGCTGAGGTCCAACGGCGTGGTCGTCGTCGTTGTCATCAGAGTCGACAACGGCATATCAACACCTGCAAGACGCCACAAATGCATTGGCTTAGACTGGAAAGTGGGGTACTTTCCACTTTGCCTGTATAAAGCCCTAAAAAACACTGGCACCGGCCTTACTACAACGCGTTTTTTTTCTTACCAAAGCGTGCACCAAAAGCAAGCGAAGCAATACCCGCGACAACAAAAGCGCCGATGAAATCTATCCATTTAGAGTCAGTAGCATCCACTGGTTGAGGCTTAAGTTAAGCTGACTGGCAGGTTCCTCTTACCTTGCTTCTTAGCACTCAGGTCCGTGGGACCATTGAGTTCCTCAAGGAACCGTTTGAACTCTTCAACGTTATGCTTGCTTTCCTCAACAGCAAATGAAGGGTTCGGGACCTCGTCAGGGTTCGAATTATCTGCGTCACCATCAGGAAAGGCGTCGATGTTCAGCTCACCTGAAGTAAACGAGCGAAACGTATGTAAAAATAAGTTACTTTTACACCACTGGAAGCAAACTAAGTTTAACTACAACATGCAATTTTTCAATTTCTAATCTCATTATTCTGCACTAAACACCGAGTCATTATACATGATTAGCCCGCAGTGTTTCTCTGTACAGCCTAATAATCAAAGAGATCTTTGAAACGGTAAAACGATTATTGTCGTTTACGCAGTGATGTTTGTTTGCCTGCATTGTCAGCACAAACGACACACAACAGTACGTTGATGCGCTAGTTTTCGCCGCAGCGTTTGCCACCGATTACTGTTCAACTAATTACTACCATTGCGGCTTGTGCTGTTGCCATTGCTGTCGTCTTTGCCGCCGCCGTCGCTGTTGTTACTCATAATGAACGTAGTCATTTGTTTATTGCTTCCCAGCGGCAGCACCAGCGTATCGCGTAGCGTATCGCACTATCGTAGTCACTAGTTCTGGTTGTAAGAAATATTGGTAGCAGCAGCGGCGATAATGGTGATGCCAGACAGCGCTTTTTGCTTGCTGTCTGCCTCCACCACTGCGTTCAACGCGTCCCATTGCCTACCGACGTGTATCCGGCGCGTCTGGAGGCGGGGCTAGCGAGAACCGGCCAATCCGACGCGGCGCTCTTCTCTGTCGTCCGCCATTCGGTTGGGCTGTTCCGTCCGACTGGTCGATTGCCAGTTAAAGAGCGATGGCTGGCTGGGCGAGCCATGGACGAGCCTTGTAATTACGTCGGGCAAGCCAGCCAGGGGTATTTAGTTCTGTTAGTTGTACTTTTCCTTTGTCTCTCTCTTTCTCTCGCGTTCATTCGCCTTCGTTCTTGTTTTGTCCGATTCACATTCTACCACCTAGCAGCAGCCAGCATCACTCGAATAGCCAATGAAAAACACGACGACTAGCCACCGTAACCGCCGTTACTGTAGTGCAATGTCGCCGTTAAACGAGGAGCCTGCGACAGTCGCCGTACGAGCGAACGAGAAAATAGAAAAGAAACGTAGGTTTAAAAAGCGGAGAAAACGAAATAAGTAACGAAACAACGAGGACGGCAACGCCGAAGGGAGAGTGACGATCGGGAAGAACGCAAACGCTTGATAGGTTTTTCAAGGGAGGAGGAGGAGGAGGAGGAGGAGGAGGAGGGGGGAGGATGTCTTAACTCAATTAAATGTAGGGAAGCATTTCAGGGCTTCGGTTAAGCCCGAATGGGAAAAAATTCGGTGTTTTCGCGTTGGTTCTAATTATATATGAACTCATTATCCCAGACAGATATATCGCTGATTATTGGATTATTATTATACACCGTATTACGCGTATCGGACCGATAGAAAGCAAAAACGGCCAACATATGAACCTCTTTTCACTTAAATAGCGGCTGTGCACGTATTTATTGATGTTTTGAATTCCAAATTTAACAACTGGATTTATATAAGAAATACTGGACCACCCTTTACTGATTGGTGACAACAGACGGGAGCCTAATACACGCACAAACTTTAGCATTGTGCACGCCTTGCATATATAGAATGTTAAATTTTGACGGCCACAATAGTATCCTGTCAAGTTATATATTCATCCAAGCAAACGTTGTTAACGTAGGAGCGATATCGGGCTGTCGGGAATGACTTCGATAGGAGGAAATGGTCGGGTAGTGTATTCTGGGGAAAAGAAAGATAAGGTTTTTTTGAACTACTGTTTAATTCTGACGCAGGACACGAGGTAAAGCTACTGGTAAACTGTGTCATTACATCTGCGTGATATCATCGGCGCAATCAAAACTAACATGATTTGGTCATCAACCACCTTTACAACCGGCGACCCAACCAAGTAGTGCTTTATATTGTAGCACTCGATCGGACGTATATATTTTTATTGTTATTATTATTTTGAGGCTGATGGTTTTTACATTCATTTTAGACGCTATGCGTCGGTTATCAGCGCTCCACCAAACAACGGTGGCAATAAGCAAGCACGCTGGCCTGTCTAGTTCTCGCAAATCGGCCCACTGGGTTGACACACCGATGGACACCGTGGCACCAGTTGAGCAGCCCCGGGCAGTGTCTTCTTCAGCTCTCCTGGTGCTGTCGCCGCTTGGTGCTTATAGTCACTTATGACTTTTCCTATAAAAAGATCCAATGTGCTTTAGCGTGAGGTGGCCATTACGTGGTTGGTTTCTCGACGACGCAATGGCGGTCAAGGCTTTATAGAGGGTGACGCATCTTTAAGTTCATCGTCCACGTCGACAGGCCGATAGACAACGGTCTTCATCGGCCATTCGTTTACTCGCTTACTTACCCTCTCAGTCATAGCAATAACTGACACTCTCAGATGTTCTACGTAGATGTGTCGTTACAAAAATCGAAAAGTAAGCAGGTACTTTGATTTGATGATGATGACAAGAGTGGGGCATTCTGGGGCATAAAAAGGTTTTCGAAAATCAGGAACGACGTTCGAAAGAGAAGCAAACGAACAGAACAGTACCGACAGCAACGAACATCGTAAAAAGTCTCGAACTGTTGTTGAGTCAGAATGAGTGAACAAACAAACGCCTATAGGAGTGTAATTGGCGCTCTATTGATCGATGGCTTTGCCATTTCAACGACTGGTAACAAAATTTGAATGACTGGACGGACCGCACAAACAGGCGAATACTTCGCCAACGAATTAAAGGCTACCGATGAGGCGTTTTGTCAAGCGCAATTGTGCTTCATACGTACGGTCGATTGAACTCGCGGTAATGGCAGCTGTGAGCCGAGTGATTGATATAGTGAATACCAATCTAACTTCGTTCGACGATTAGCGCAATTCATAATGATACCATTCGAGGAACAGACATACTATTCTCCGTTTCAAAATTTACATTAACAACCGTCTATTGTAAAGCTCTCTCCATTCGTTCTCACTGAAATATAAGTAGCCGATGGTAATGGCGAGTGACGCCTCCGCGTAAACACGGCGCGCGTCCGATTTGCACCACCATTGACGGCATCACCAACGTCGACGTAAAAGCTGGTTGCTGACTGCTGACTGAGCATTCAGTCAATGGCACAAAACCGAAAACCAACATACGACCAATCAGCCACACAGGCCAAAGCAGTATTCGTTGTTGCTAACAGCCCATGCTTGTTTGTTGTTATTGCTGCCATCATCATCATCATCGACATCATGGTCCTCGTCAGGCCAGCCGCTCTCAGTTCGTTTTGTGTCATTATGCGCACCCTTTATTATTGTCGGCATCTTTCTTCAGCGTGTCCTTTGCTAGTTTAGGAGTACCCTCTTCGAGGATAAGTTGCACCGCGACAATCATCAATGAGCTTTACAGCGTAACGCGACGTAGCGTAACGGGTACGACGGTGTGGAGTGCGGACGTTCTAAGACGGGATGCTCGTCGGCAGGAACCCAACAGTGTTCGACGTGACAAGCGTTTGGTTGGCGGTTAAGCACTAATAAGCCCACGTTGACCGATGTCACCATCACAAATAGCGCGTCGACCACGACGACGACGACGACAATCGGACGGAAAATGCGACGCCATCTTGAGACACTGTCTATCCTTTGCTGCAAGTGCAGTATCGTCTAAGATCAATACGTCTCTTGTTTAGGCTCAGTGTCGCAATGCTACCCCTACGCCACGTTCCAGCCGCCATTTCTCCTGGGCGTCTCTACGATCGGTTACAATGCAGACGACAACCAACGAATACAGTAAAACGAGTCCAAGTTACAAGCCACGACAATACTAGATTACTATCGAATTTTCTGAAACATCGTTAGCATCCGCAGATGAACATTTAACGACTTGGCAAATGCAAAAGGTCAACGAAAAAAGAAAGTGGAGGAGAGGGCCATCATTGGCCAAACGATGAGCTGAATAGATCGATACTATGAAAGGAAGTTAGCTATCGGTGTCTGCGAATGCCTAGAAACTAACCGTTCGATGACATAGTTGGGCGGTGCAGCGACAAAAAGATCGTGTGGTTTCAAAGGCCCACACTTTAATAAAGGATAAGTGAACAAATGCCACCCTTTTTTATACTTGATTTTTTGCCGTTCAACAAATCTACAAATAGCTGCAAAGCCAAATAAATGGACCACACACTACAGGGCATCAAATACTGTTGTTAATTTCATGTTTGCTCAGTGTCTTATAAACCAAACCGTACTACCGAAAATATTAGAGAAGACTGCCTCCAGAAATGTAGCTACGTCGTTACCAATAAACATTACCTTCTAAACCCCGCACGTTAGCCGCCCTATCGCAGATTTTAACCATCCTACACAGTGCCTACACATAATAGGGGATGAGAACAAACCGAATTTACCTTTGGAGTAGAGATCGGCGTGCCGAGTCGCGAGATGCGATTCTAGCGCGCTGCGGGCCTTGAACAGGGCCCGGCAGAAGGGGCAGCGCTTGTGGATAGCTTGTTGGTGGGCGCGAAACTGGCCTTTGCGTTCGCGGGCCCGGGTGTTCTGGAACCAAACCTGCACCACTCGCTTCTTGAGCCCGACATCTCGCGCGATAGATTCCAGCATCTTCCGACTGGGGTTCGACTCTTGCTGGTACTTCTGGTAGAGGAAGTCGAGTTGCTCCGGAAGGATGGTCGTACGCAGTCGTTTGTCCCTGAAGGAAGCAAAGCAACGTGCAAGCCGGAATTAGCCTCAAGATGCCCGATTGATCGAATCGTTGATCTTAGATCCATGCAAGGGGAGTGGACGTCGAACGCAATTTGCTTGCGAAGATGGACGCTTACCTTGGAGAACCATCTCCGCTGGCGTCCTTGCTTGGAGAGCACTCCTCGTCAGTGCTGGCTGAATCTGGTTTTCGTTTCCATTGTCCATTACTACCTTCCTCCATCATTCCCGGAAAGGCCAAATTTTGAGCGGTCGCTATCGGGTTCGCTATAGTGCTTTTGGGAGTTTGGGGCTGTTGGGCTGAGGAAGGCGTGCCGGTGAACAGGTTAGGGTTCATCACGTGTATGACCTGATGTTCACGCCATTGCTCGAACCGTGAGAATACCAAGGGACACTTGTCACAACGAAAGGTTCCCGCGCCAACAGACACTGCTGCGGCTGAGGGAGCTGAGGGTGTACCCGTAGGGGATAAGGCGGGACCAAGAGGGCTCTGGGCCAGAGGGGTTAGAGCATTAAGCGAGGGGGGTTGGACGCCCGACGTCTGGGATTGTTGTTGTTGCTGTTGTTGTTGTTGAGCCTGCGCCTGGGCTACTTGAATAGCCAGTGCAGCAGGTAGGGCTACCGCCAGGGCGCGCTCCGAGCTAAGGTTGGCCCCAGAGGACGCCGTGCTTTTGGGAGTGCCAGAAGGCTCTGGAGTATCTGGGGGCGTCTGACTGCTGCCGACGCTGCTCTCCGGGCGATCCGGCTGGGACGACTGCTGCTCCTGCGCGGACTTCAGTTGCAGGGCGATCGGATTCTCGTCCTTGAAGCATGAGTTCCTCTGATGCTTGATAAGCTCGTAGTAGCGCTGAAACACCTGGTGGCACTTCTTGCACTGATAGTTTAGGCCGGGGGTCCTCTGAAATCGTCCGCTTTCATCTTCGGAGGTCTGCGGCTGGTTTTCGTAGACCTTCCTCGCCTTCTGCCTGGCATTTTGGAACCACACCACGATCACGCGCGGACTGAGATTAAGTAGTTTCGACAAATACTCCAAATCATCGTCTTTCGGGTAGGCATTGGATTCGAAGAATTCCTGCAAAACCTTGATCTGATAATCCGTGAAGCGAGTTCTGTTGGCGCGTTTTCCGCTGGGCGGCGTTGGAGCAGAGGGCGGGGCTGCCGCCAGGTTGGCTTGCAGCAGAGCTGTCGGTGAAGCAGCGGCTCCAAGCGCTTGGGCTTGAGCCTGCACTTGCATCTCTTTCAACAGCGTCTCCTGAAGCAGGTCGGGATTGCTGAGCAACTCAGGTTTCGCCTGGAGCAGCCGCTCGTGGGTCTTCACTAGCTCCTGAATCCCCTCGCTTGCCTCCTTTCCGCCGCCCTCGCCCATCAACATAGCCATCATAAGCACATGCTGTTGAATAGCCATTGCATTCGCAGCTTGTTGTTGTTGTTGTTGTTGCTGCTGCTGCTGCTGCTGCTGTTGTTGTTGCTGTTGCTGTTGTTGTTGCTGCTGTTGCTGTTGTTGTTGTTGGGCAGTGGTTGTGGTCTCTTTGTTAACACTGGTACTACCGGGCTTTGACGGTTTCGGCGTACTGGGCGCGCTAGGTGTGGCGGGTGTCTCGAGTTTGATCACTTGCACGGGCGGCGTGGGGGGCGCCGGCGAGGGTGAGGGCTGAGGTGTAGGGGGCTGTTTAAGTGCGGGAGATGGGGCAGGAGATGGGGCAAGTTGTTGTTTTTTGTTTTCGCCGACCGCGCCTGCGGCTGCCACTGCCACCGCAGCTACCGTGCTGTCGCTAGTCAAGCAGACAGATTGACTCGACGCTGCTGCTGTCGCCGAGGTTGTGGTAATCGCCAACGGCTTGACGTCGCCGGCCCCGGAACTGCACACTTCCGAGATGGGGATAACCTTTGCCTCCCCAGTCTTCTCATACTCTTCTAGGTTCAGGTAGGTAGACGGGGGATTGTTGAAGTTGTAGGGAGAGTCCTTGTTTCGTTGGCGCTCCTTGAACAGGGTGTTGCGGAACCAGTGTTTGATTACCTAAAAATCGAATCGATTATAATGATATATCCTATTGAATCAAGCAATTGTACAAAAAATTGATCGAAAAAAAAAAGAAAGAAATCAAATAATACGACATGCTGTCTTTGTAGAGTCAAATAGATACCATTTGACAAAGGTTGTTGGATCTACTTCCGATCGATCCTGGGCTCTGGATCTAATGATTGGAAAGTTTTTACCAATAGGTACAAAATCAATACGAAATACACGCATGTCGGTAAATGTTCCTTTAGTATGATATTACTATATGATCAAAGCAGAACACAGGATCATCATTTACCTTAAGTGGCAGTCCAGACTTCTCCGACATCTCAAGGAGAGCCTCTTCGGTCGGGGAGTTATTGATGTCGAAGTAGGCGCGCAGGATCTTTAGTTGATCGTCGGTGATCCGAGTACGCGCTCGTTTCTGCTGCTGCTGCTGTTGCTGTTGTTGTTGTTGCTGCTGCTGCTGCTGTTGTTGCTGCTGTTGTGCCGCAGCCTGCTGCGCCTGTTGTTGTTGTTGTTGTTGTTGTAGCGTGAGCTGCTGTTGCAGCAGCTTTTGATGCGCCAGCGGATCAGGCGCCTGTCCCATTTGGCCGAACACCTGTTGAAGCAACTGTTGTTGCTGTTTAGCCATTGCGTTAGCGGCGGCCTGGTCACCCGCCGCGGGTCCGGCGCCTGTGGCAGCAGCAGCGCCAGCCGCGTTCTGCGCGGCGGCAGCGGCCAACTGCAGTTGCATCAACTGCTGTTGGAAGAGGTTCTTTTGAGCCGCTAAGACGGTCTGGTCGGCACCGGCAGCCGTAGCGGCAGCCATCTGCTGTTGCATGGCTTTCTGCTGGGCGGCTAAGAGCGCCGCTGGATCCTGCCCGGTCATCATAGCATGCTGGATGGCCGCGGCTGCTAAAATGGGATCTACCTGTTGCATGGGATTGGCCGCTGCGGCAGCGGCTGTCAGGGGGTTCAGGGGGTTTATGTTCATCATCATCATTGAGAGGGGATGCATGGGCGGCAACTGGCCGAGTTGTTGAAGTTGCTGCAGCTGCTGGGGGAGGGCTGTGGCAAGTTGAGGCGGGAGGCCCATCAAGCCCATCTGCATTAACATCTGCAACTGGGCTGCCTGGGCGAGCTGCTCGGCGCTCTGCTGGTCGCTTCGGGTGCCGTCGTGGTTCTGGCTCTGCGGTCCGCTTTTGGGTAATGAAGGCTTTTTCGCTTGTGGCTGTGACTGGGCCGAGTCCGCACTTCCGCACTTGTTCGGCGCTTCCGCAGAGGCGTTTGAGGCGCTAATGCTGCTACTGCTGCCGCTGTTGTTGGCAGTGGCGGCGCTAGAACGCCGTGCAGCCTTCGTCGCCTGCGTATGCACCTTCGCCTCTTCCGGGACGACGCTCTCGGACGGCTCCTGTTTGACGTCGGAGCCCGACGAGGCGCTACCCTGTCCGGAACCGCCGAGGCTGCCGGAGCTCGCGCTGGGGCCCGTAGGTCCGTTAGTGCCTGCTGCTGCTGTCGCCTGTACCTGGTTGTTGCTGCAATTTCCTGCTGCTGTTACTGCGGCTGTAATAGCTGCTGCTGTTGTCCCGACGGCTCCGGAGTGGTTGCCGGACCCAGGAGTGGGAGTGGTCTTGTTCTCGAAGTCGTTCCTAAACTTTTCCGCGACTTTGGAGACAACTTCTACAGGCACCACGTCTTTGTGGACTTCCTCGCGGTGTGCCTTCAATACCCAAACGCTCGAGAATTCCTTGCCGCACTCCGGGCAGCGGCATCGGTTGAGCTCAGGTAGATCGAGCTTTCCGGAGACATTTGCCGGCTTGTCAGAATCCTTCGCTACATCCTGGAGCTCGGGGGGCGTCTTCTGGTCACTGTCTTTATCCTTCTCCTCCTTATCCTTAGCGTCCAGGGTCTCCTGCGGCGCCCCGTCGGCCTCCAGCTTAATCTGCACCACGGCCCCGTTTTCCTGAGCGTTACTGTCTGCGCTTTTGGCCGCAGACAAGTCCCCGTCATCGGAGGCGCTGTCTTTTGCCTCATTGATCATTATTAGCGCCGCCGACGTGTCATCGCCCTCCCTCTTGTTGTCGTCTCTGTTATTGCTGCTGCTATTGTTGTCGTCCGGACGTTTCACTTTCTGGTTGAACTCGTTATATTGCATGACCACGTCGAAACCAAATGACTCGAGTAAATGCTTGTACATGGGCGGCTTTTTGCCACTAGCATTAATGCTGCCGCCGACGCCGAAATTCTGATTGAATTGGTTTTGTAGAAGATTTTGTGGAGTATTTGCTTGCTGCTGCTGCTGCTGTTGTTGTTGTTGCTGCTGCTGCTGCTGGTTGACGGGTGCCGGCTGCATGCCTTTGGGGAGCTTGACTGGGCTGACATCCCCAGATGTTAACGCGGTTAGAAGCTGTTGAACCGCTGCATTCTGCTGGTGTTGCTGTGCTTGTTTCTGCAATATTGCAGCGGCATTCGTCATCGGACAGAACATTTGATGCTGGTTAAGTGCATCGGTATTTGGAAAGGACTGGTTACAAGCTTGACACTGTTGCGCTCCGGTATGCTGTCCGCCCAGATGGTTCAGGAGCTGCTGTAGAAGCTCTCTTTCCTTGTCGGCTGCATTCTGCGAATGACCCACACCCTGGATGCTTTGCGCTAGACTTTGTATGTTATGCAGGTTTTGGGCAATCTGCTGGAAGTTCTGCAGCGCCACCTGATCGGCAGATGCCTGTTCGTCGTCGTCAGGCCGTTCGATCAGCGGGAGCTGAAGATCCAGCTGTCCTTGCAGGGCCAGCTCGTGGATTTTCGCCGCCCGGCTCTGATGAAGAACGGAGCGGAGGTGGATTTCGAGTGTGGCATTCTGGCCGTAGCTAACCTTGCATAAGTTGCATTTGAACGGCTTACCGGACTCTTCGATGATGTTGTTGTTGTTGGCCAGGGTGGCCGGCGACGGAGAGCTTCTGCTGGGCGAAACCTGGCCTGAGGGCGTGCCGGGAGCGGGTGGAGTGCCAGCACCGTCTTTTGAGCCAAGATGACCGGCTCCAACTGAGTTTTGGACACTATTTGCACATGTGCCACCCAAGGGCTGAGTGATCTGCTTGAGTTTGTGTTGGTGGCTAACCGAGTTATAGTGCCCTTGAAGGATACTCTTCTGGGTGAAGCTTTCTTTGCAAATATCGCACCTGTACGGTCGAGAGGGGTCGTTGTACTTGTCGACGACGGGTCCCGCTTTGGCGCGGTGGCCCGCGCTTTTATGGTGCTCCGTCAGGTACGATTGCTTGGTGAAAGCCACCCGGCATCGATGGCACTTGTACTTGCGGTTGGGATCGTTGTAGGCGTCCTCCGCGCGCCGAGACTGGTTCATGTAGTCGTCTTTGAACGTGCTGTCAACAGGCTGCTCTTCGTCATCTAGCTCTTCTGGCTGAAGCTCCGGGTCATCGTTTTCAGCCGGAAGCATTTCGTCATCAGCATCACGGAGGCTCTCCTTCTTGAGCATCTCGTTGAGCACTGGATCGAGCACTCCTGAGCCTCCCTCCTTGTTAAGGAACGGGTTCTTCGCCAGGTACTCCTGGTATTTCCCCCTATCCTCGGGACTCATCGACGAGTGAGTGCTTTCGACATGTTTCTGGACAGCCTGAACCGACCTGAAATTTCTTCCGCAGATGACGCAACTCGTCGCCTGACGGATCGCGTGGTACTGTGAGTGCAGCTGTAGCTTTTCCATAGTTTTGAAAGCGAGCGAACATTGGTTGCATCGGTACTTGTAGACGTGCCTCTCCGACACTGTGAGATCTGATATAACCGTAAGGAAGTGACTTTTAAAGTGATTTCTGAGATCGGGTGCAGCGCCGAATGAGGCGTCGCAGCCGGTCTTCCAGCACTGGAAAGAACCGGCCTCTTCGAAATGCTCGGGCAGGTCCTGCAGGTGGTTGAGGACATTGTCGAGGTTTTGGAACTGCTCGCCACACTTCTTGCAGGTTAGGTCTTCAGGGTCGGTCTTGTCGGGCTTGTCGTCCGCTTCGTCTTTTTCGGCTAGCTTCTCATCAGTGTCCATCTTTTCCTCCGTTCCTTCAGTCTCTGTGCCGGAATCGAGTCGCGGCCGTTTTGCCGACCGCGCTTCGCCGGTAGCCTGCACGATCGCAAGCAGCCTCTGCAAACCCTCTTTGGTGACGTTGTGCACTGCCAGCAAATGCTGGCCAATCATCTCAAGATCCGGGAACTCATCCTGGCACAGTGGGCATTGCACACAGCCCGAGCTGCTGCCGGAGGTGTCCAGGTCCTTCTTGCGACTAAGCTCCGAGTCGTTGCCGGAGTCCTTATCGGTGTCGGCCTTGCTTTCCTCCGACTTTGCTCGGTCCTTGAGTTCGGGATGGGAAGCCAAGTGCTCCCGGAAGGCGTCGTCCGAATCGCACACGAAGCTGCACAGACTGCAGTGACGCGCGTCTGTCGCCCTCGAGGAGTCGGATGTAGCAGCGCCTGAAAGAATACGAGTAAAACTTTAACTTTCGAGTCACAGAGAAGACACTTCGATCAAAAACGAAGAAGAATAACACGGTCACAAATCTTCAACAAGCTACGGTAGGCCACCACACTGATCACACTTTAACTGCTGCAACTTATTGTTGTGGCACTCACCCTGATTCTTAACGGTGACAAGGAGTGAGTCCAAGATGTCACAGGGTTCGGCCTGCGCCTTCATGATATGGTCGGCTCCTCCGGTGTGTTCGATGAGTTGCGACCTCTTAGCGGTAACGAACTCGCAAAGCTTGCAGCTGTACTGCAGGACTTGTTGCTGCTGAGCCTGAGGCTGGTGGGCGGCCTCCAGCTGCACCAGACGATTGAATGCTCGCTGGCACATTTGGTGACGCGGGCTGGCCGCGTGCAGCTGGAGCTTATGTACGGAGTTGGTGTAGTAGTCACAGGCGTTGCAGCGCACCTGAACCGGGTTCGATATGTTGACGTACTTGAGCTTCCACTCGTTTCGTTGGCCGCCCTCCTTAACGTGATTGACGTGTTGAAGGCGCTGCAGATGCTTGTCCGTTTTACAGTGGAGCTGGAAATTGGCCCGAAGGTTCGTCTTGTACGAGCAGAGCTTGCAGATATAACTGCCAGCAACTGCCATTAGAACCTCGTCCTCCTTCGTCCTCGTCCTGTCCATTTGGAAGTGGGCTCCCAAGGCCTCCACACTATCCACTGAAAACACACAGCAAACGCAGCACTGATAGATTCGCGAGGTTTCGTCGCACGACACGTCGCACCTGAAATGAGTGAGATAACAAACAGATCGCTGTTAGATAGTGAACGCTAATTGTTAGCTCTTTCCCGTTAGAGTACGTTGCGTCATATTTACCTACGAAGCAGCACGTGGAAAAACAACAGAAGTTCGAAGGTGCACATCGAGAAATATTGTGAAAAGCGGATGCTCACCTAAGGGTGGGATCGGGATGTTCCATGTCTAGCGTGGGGTTATTCTTATGAGCCGCCTGTGGGGTGCTCTGGTGCTGGTTCTGTTGTTGTTGTTGTTGCTGCTGCTGATGCTGATGTTGTTGGTTCTGGTGTGCCATGACCAGCAGTGCATGTTGGTAGGCAATGTCGGCCAGTTGCACCTCGGGGGATTGTCCCGCGGGGTCCTGCTGGCCGGCTTGCTGTTGTAGCTGCTGTAGAAATGCAGGATGCAAGCCCATTAATGGGTGATTGGGCCCTGCGGGGGTGCCAGGTTGCGTCAGCGCGCCGAGCGCCTGCTCCAGCCCAGCCGGATTACCGCCGCCGAGCGCTTGTAGCGCCTGGAAGCTCTTCATATTCTGCTGTAGCACGGCATGGTTGTGCGTGTGCTTCTCGGACGTCATGTGAATACGCAAGTTACGCGCCACGTTTGTCTCGTAGTTGCAAATGTCACACCTCCAGGTGGCCTTAGGCTTAGGACTTGCCTGTTTAGGCCGTTCAGGCTCGGTCGGTTTGGGGGGCGCGGGAAACTGCATCTGACCATATGGCGCAGCCGAAGCCGCTCCGCCCACCTGCAGCTGGCCATTGTGGAGTTCCTGGATGTTGTTGATGTGCTTGTCCGACTGCATGTGTATAGAGAGGTTGCCTGGTAGTAGTGAAACGGGTAACGTAACACACGTCGTTAGAATAAGATATCAATATATATATATATGTATATAAAAATATGCCTACACTAGCATGTTAGCTTGAGAACCAATGAAACTCTGAAAAGTTCTGGTTAAGCCAAAGCTTGTCACCATTCTTGCCGGTAGCCGAGTATATAATCTTATATCAACGCTGAGCCTGCTCACCTTTCGTAGTGGTGCTGTAGTTACACACATCACACCGATAGGGCTTATAACCGCACGTGTAGGTTTCCCCGCGCGCGAGTCGCGGATGAGGCTGGTTAGTGAGGCAGTACACGCAGCTCATGTCATTCTCGGGGTGCTTTTCCTTCATATGGATCTCCAGTGTCTCTTGATATTTGTAATGCCAGTTGCACTTCGGACACTTGAGCGTCTTGCACGAGTTCCTGGAGTGCATCACCTGAGGCGACGGCGCTGGACTACTGGAGGCGAGCTGCGGGCCCATTTGCCCCACTGGCACCTGCCCCATTTGGCCGGACATGGCCAACTGATTGAGTTGATTTAGCTGCGACATCGACATGTGGGCAGCTGCCTGCAGCTGCGACTGCTGTAAATTCTGCTGCAGAGTCTGCAGTTGGCTGTGTACAGCGCCGAGCTGAGCCGCGCGCGCCTGATTCGCATCGCACTTATTGCAGTCTGTGCCCGGCGGCTTACCCTCGGGATGCTGTGGACAAACCTGCAACCCGAACTGCTGTTGTAGCATAGCGCTGAATAGCGCCTGCGCTTGTTGAGCAGCCATCTGGTCCATGGCACCCTTACTAGGACCACCTTGATGGCTAGGAGATGAACCGGTTGAACAGGCAGAGGTTGGCCGCTGACTGCTGGGTGATTCAGCTTCGCGCTTCACCTGTTCAGCGAGCTGCGCCATCCGCTGGACCCGCTCGATGTTGGCAAGTTCTTCGAGCTCTTTCGCTTTTGCGCTCAGTGTTTCAGGGCTAGAAGGTGTGCACTCGGGCGGACTGGGGCTTCTTCTCATCGATAGAACCAACGATAACGCTGTTGGACTCGACGTTCGGGACCGGTTGCTAGCGTTAACGCTGACGCTGCTGCTGGCGCTGCTGTTATTGCCGCTATTTGTGTCCTGCTGGCTGGGACGTTCATTTGTCGTCGTACTTCCAGCAGTAGTATTACTTGAAATCGCATTGGTTGTTGTGGTGCTCGAAGTGTTGTGACTTTGGCTCGTAAAGGCTTTCGACGCGACGGTGTTGTCAGTATTGGGTGGCGACGTTAATTGCTCTTGACTCTTGGGTGACGAAGACGATGCAGGAATTGTGGAAGGTTGAATTGTTGTATCACAGTGGCTGGAACTATTTACAAGGGGACCGGATAGTGGCGTTTCCGGCCGAACTTCGGAGGGTGCGCTATTGGCGCCTGAGGTAGTTGAGGCTGGCAGAGGGGTCCTGAGGGGCTCAAGAAAGGACAAGATCGGCTCTTTCTCCCTTCCCACCCCCTGGATAATGGCGGATACCGCACGTCGCTCCAGCTGTGCGGCCTCATCCTCGCCTAATGACAGGCCGTGCTGATTCGTCGCGTGGCCTACAAACGACTTTGAAAAGCCGAATGACAGCTTGCACAGGAAACACATAAGGATAGGCCGCGCTGGCTGCACCTGCTCGCCGTCCTGCAAGCTTTCTTGCAAGAACTGCGCTAAACTACCACTCACTTGCGGAGGTTCCTGATCCTTCTGCTGTACAGCACGCGTTTTGCCGTTACGTGCACGTACGCTGAATACCCGATAGCTGTGTACAAGGGGCGTGCAACGTTCGGCACCACCGGCGGCCCTAGCACTTGGCGTGCCATCTCCGGTCTCCGCTTTGTGGATATGGTACGCATTGACCACCTGAGGGATGGATAGTTCGGTACCTCGAGGTGGTGTCAATCCCCGGCCGTCAACAATCGCCCCTTCCTGTGACGGCAAAGGCAATGAGCTTGAGTCTTCTGAGCTCTCGGAATCGATGATGAACGCCGATCCATCGGGATTGTAGACAATACGTCCAGTAAACGACTCGACGTCAGCTGGCGCCTGCGTCTGTGTTTGGCTTTGCGGAGCCTGGCTAGGACTTAAACTTTTAGTCAATGCCAAGCCGAGGTCCTGCTGCGCCCCCATAGCCAGCACACCTTCCTCGGGGGTCATGTTGATCTCAGCAGGGTTGAAATTGACAGAGAGGGGTAGGGGACTCGACGCCGCCTGTGGTCTCGTCACTGGGAGGCTTAGATCGAGCGAGGCCTGCCCGTTGCCTTGGCCTGAAATAGGACACAGAACAGTTTAACGACATCAATTGTCATCACTGATACTAATTATCCATAAAGTTAAGTTTGTTTTTTCGAGAAAAGAACTAATAAGAGCAGAACGAAGACAAGTTGTAATTTACCGAAGAACATAACGTTAGATCCAATTTTGAAAACTGAAAGAAACCGTAAAACAGTTTTTTTGCCGAAAAAAATCTGACGAACATCGGCCAGTTTTGCTTCAGGCGAAAATCCAACAATGATAAAACATTAGCCTGATTTACTTACCAGTGTCGCACATAGTCCCGAGCAGTTATCAAAAGTGATGATGTGGTTCTTCTCCTGAGTTGAAGCGATCTGCGCAAAATTTTGAGTCTTTTTTTCCTCATAGCAGGCGGAGAGATTACAAGAAACTAGGTTCGAGCTCCGAAACATAACGGACACTGCAAGAAAAGGAGGATGCCATTGATATTACTATTTAGTAAACATTTTTAGTGAGCGCTTTTTCTTTGCTATGCAGAACAGTTTAAAAGTTAGCAGACCTACACGTGGGCACACATACGCGTACTAGGCAGCTGGTTGACAGACGACTAGTTCAAGTCAGCAAAATGGGCTCAGGTTATACATCAACAGACGCCTCATTAATCCGTCCTGTGTTCAACGATCTCATAAAATCGCTTGCATTTGTTCTTCTACGGACTACCGTATTCGATGAATGGTTGGCTGTTTGGCCCGAAAGCAAGTGGCAGCCGTCGCCGCCGCCGCCGTCGCAGCCCTTGGCGAAGGCAATCTGTCGGATTGTTTTCGCTGCCGTAAGCCACTGGTCTTCATTCGTTCAGATTAAAATCATAGGCAAACCACGTTACAGCTGCAGCGCCGGCGATCGAATCAATCATTGAACCGAGGGTCAGTCACCACCGTACGGACGACCGAACGAATCGCTAAGCTCGTCGGCAGCATGTATTGTCATCACTTAATAGAATCAGCATAATCATTACCACAATCATCGTTGCCTATAGCATCAGTATCAACATGAATGGCATCGGCAAATAGATACTAAACGCAACTGTAAAGTCACTGCCAGCGGTGCTCAGCAACATCATCGTGACCTGTCACATATATATGTGTATGTATATATATAGCCGAGCGTATAGCGGTTGCAACTCGTAAGACTCCCACACGCCTTACTTGCTCTTTGCTAAGCATGGACCTGATGATGGTTTGGCGTATAGCTGTTTCAGTGTACAATACAATCTATGGGCAAAATGGTAACGCTACTGCTTCTTCCAGACTGGCCGACAACGACGACAGTTGAAGGGTCTAAGGACAACTGATCAGCGGGGTGGCTGTTTCGGGTCCTACTCCACGCATGCGATGCCCTCGAGCCTTGTTTTCTCCGAACCCATACAATATCGAGATAGGTCCAGCAAAAGCTCGGCTAACGAACCGATATCTTGTCAAGCAGCATTAACAGGTTCAGATGACAACCAATAGGTCGAACAGGAACGTTAGTGTTTCTTTTCTAGATTACATCGTCGTGTTCAGTGGTTGCGTCTGCTCTACTCAACCTATGGTACACAGGATACGCAAACGATACATCGAATTTTAGCTCGATACATGGACAAAATTCGGCTGTCTCAAGCATCACTGATTTTTTCTTCGCTGCTAAGTAGCAGTCACTACGGAAAAAATCGAAAATTTCTTTCGCCAGTTTGTGAAGCTTGGTTTCCATTTATGCGATTAATGCGATTATTTCCCTTGAGCTTCAAGTATTTCTTGGATATTTGGTGCGGCGCCACTGTGTATCGGTGAGTCGTCATCTACTCCCCTCTCCCCGTCATTGATTGAATATCATCGATAGTTTAAAATCATTTATTCTGTGCGGCCACCGTTAAGACACATTGTGCCATTAGTATCAACAATGCCAAGTAGCATTACTACCGTCAATCTAGTTCTCATCAGCCGTGTATATATATATGTGTTTCGTAAATTCATTATTCTGTATTGGCTGATTTTGCGGTTCTTCGCTACGCATACGTCATGTGGCTCTCACTTTTTGGCCTTTGAAGTTGATAGTTGCACGTACTCCCTCACAGAAGGAACGGAACTTCATAATCTATCGCTCTAATGCTCATTTTTCAATCTGCTTTGCTTCGTAGACAATTTGCATTCAAGATCAACTTATGCCGGTCCTGCTGTTGCTGCATCGAAAGTAGCAGAACAGCCTCAGCTACACCGGTACAAAACCACACGCAAAGTCTTTACAGCTATTGTACTTTGTACACGATGACCGCAATTGCCAGTAATCATGCGCCGATGACTACGCGGACACGGCCGTAACGGTGCTGGCCGACAGGCAAGCAAATGGTACGCATTTTCGGTTTGATTCTAACGCGTCTCCATACCCTTACGCCTTCGTGTTTCGCTGCGTCGAACTAAAAATTCCAAATGACTTCTTTGTCGTCCTTTCTCTTCCTTACTTCATTGTCTTGTTGACCATCTAAACAGAGCAGTCTTTCCTCTCGCTAGAGATTTCGAATTTCTTAACACAAACGTCGTTACTATCGCAGTGGCTATCGTCGTTGTTATTGCCGTCGTTGCTATTGTTTCCGTCAGCAGCAGCATCAACGAGAACAGTCAGTCAATCTGCTGTGAACTGACTTCTATCTTTCTCCTTTTTATCATTTTCTTTATTTCTTTTTCCCGCTGCTTCAGTCTTTTTCCCGATCGTTCTTACCGTAAAGTATTCAATTTTCAATTATCGATTCCTCAGCCACCATAGTCAGTCGTGTTGACGTCGCCATTAAACCATTGTAGCCAGCTAAATCCAAACAGGCGGTCCAATGAGGGTATGTAGACAGGCAGGCAGGCAGGCAGGCAGGCAGGCAGGCAAACCGATCGACAGTCACAAACCACCGCACCCGCGTCATTGCGTTCGCTGTTGGTGTAGTTTACGTCGTCTGTTCTTTTTGGCCTGTACAAGCCGCGTCTTCAGCGACTCGTCCGCGCGTGCAATTCAAGGAGAGACTAGATCGTACCGAAACTCATAGCAATGACGCATCTTAGTCGTTCAACGCAGCGCCGCTGCATCCGTTGAACCAGCTGTACTAGCAACATAGAATCAGACAGTGCTGCGGTATCCGCTGCTTCTTTTTCTTTCGCCTGATCTCAGATTTACAGCGCTAATGGTAAATGATCGGTGGGTCGTCTGTTGCTAGCGGCAGCTCGCCAGGCTCATCAGCAGTTGCTGACAGCAGATAGACACGTGAACTAAGAAATGTAGTACATGTATAATTAGAAACAGAGATAAGCAAATAAGCGATAGCTACCATCATAAAAAGCATACATCGACTAACGGGCCAGTGGATAAATTGTCGAGTTTACTTGGTGTCAGCAAGTTGTCAACAAAGTATGTAGTGTCGTAACAGCAAAATGTTCGAACTGCAGGCGCAGAAAGAATCAGGCAACGTAAATAGCTTTTTAAGCACACGAACATGGTACGGTATTAGTAGTGCGCTTATATTTCCCACAACTTTCCTCTTCGAAACTACAAAGCTTGAGTGCGTATATAACAACGCGACAATGGAGCTGCCTCGTATGGCCGCTCGTACAACACATACTATGAACTTTTCGTTTTGGTTCACCCTGATTTGCTCTCTTAAGTACTGCAAATATTTGCCAAGACGGTCAGTATTCGCTTTGCACCAATTTATTTTCTGTGCGACCGCATGTGTACACCGTTGCTGTCTCCTTCGCCCAATCTAGCCGTTAAGTCCCGATCGGGCCACTTAGCTCCCAATCGATCCCTCCCCGTTTCTCTCGGTTCTGGCATTCTGTAATTACGATAACAATTAATATTAGGTGGATAAGGGGCCATGTCAGGTCAACAGGGCAAGTGAGACGACTGCCTAAAAACAGGTTAAATGAACCCCCAACACCCCCTTGCAGAGGCCTGAATGCGCGCTACCCCGGGCAAACCCCCCGAGGACACGATGCTGCAGCAGTGGCAGCACTAAGACAAGTGACCCGAGCCTGAATTCGTCGCTTTCCCTCTTGCGTTCTTTCTCACCGTATTATTTCACTTCCACTCGATGTCCTCAGACCGAACACAACAGTTCGCTTCGTCCTGTACGACCATGAGGTTATTTCGATCTGCCATCCATTCTACTGTCCAATCATTCGTTCGCTCGACTCTTAGCTTCAAATAATTAGTATGCGGTCAACACATAAAAATGAACATGTGTTAATTACACCTATCGGTTGGGACCAAGTCGCCGCAGCCGCCGACGGCAGCACCAGCAGCAGCATCAGTAGCCAGGACAGCTCTAAATAAAAACGCACTTTATCGGACGCGGCTGCTGCGGTGCTCGCCCGCGTCAACGAGACGTCGACAGGCCACAGTTTAAGGGAGTTAGGTGTGCGTTTCGGATGGTTGACCGCAGCTGGAGAGGGGGAATTATTGAGACTGGGAGAGGCCGCCACAATGGTAGAGGCTGTAGCAATTACCGTTGTGCTATTACTATTGCTAGCCTTCTTGGTTCATACTCTTCCTGTCGGTATTTGGTACCCACTGTCGTCTGCTGGTAGGCCCAATGATGGGCAGTGGGCACTCACCAGCTCGTTTCTTCGAACAGACCATCGAGATAAACTAGGGAACGCCACGCAAATGGACGTAAGCATTAAGAGCAAGGGGACAGAAAAACACTCGGACTCCCAGGCGGGAATCAGCATCCACGCCTCACCTATCTTTGATGAAAGGACAGAGATAACTATCGCAGAGTTGAGCGTAAGGTGGCGACATATCCTTACCAGCTAAGCGAGTTTTCACGAAATACAAGCAGCATGACTTACAAGGGCAACTTGCGCAAGATGTGGTTGTTACCATTTGTCAAATCATTACTTATAAAATGATACTATCTGCTATACGTTAATAGAGGTTAATAAATGTTTTATTTGGACGACCATTCATTGAAGCCGACTGCTCGTCGACCATAACAAAAGCCAAAAAAGTAGATTTTAGCTGGTAAAACACGCAATGGTTGCAATAAGAATCCAGATTTTAGCTACGAGCTAAAATACTAAATTGGCTGAAGTAGTTACGAGGGTTATCGCTCAAGAAAAGAGCAGCTCGCGTGTGGGGCGTCCATTTGAAGCACGACGGAGGCGACGACCAAATGATGTCGTTGGTTTGTGGCTCTAGAATCTATGACAAAAGCTAACAGCAGTTCGATATCAACGAGAAAAAGAAACTAGAGACTGGAACAAGTAGAGGAACACATTATAAGGAGACGCGAAATGGCGACTTGCCCCTGCTATTCCGATCGGTCAAGCGCAGCGTCGTTGTAATTCGCGAGTGCCCCACCCATGCCTCGACATGATCCTAAACAGTAAATATGCATACGTGCATATTGCTGAATTTTTATGTCCTGGTGGTGCTTTGTAG